ATGTGATGGGTTTTGTCTTCTGGAGTTTGCCAGGGTATCAACCCCCTCCTGAATTCGAATATGTTATCCACCCAATCAGGGCACTTTCGTTGTCGTGGTTTGACAAAACATATGGATTATTCTGACCAATCAGAGACTTGGTACCCAAGCAAATATCCTGTAGCATTTTATACCTCTTAGTCCTGTGATAAACTCTAATATCGGATTGCGATCAAAGGTTCGCTATTGTGGGGGACTACTGTATTCGGATGTTTACGATTAGTTTTTGCTCATCGAATGTGATATATATCCTTATCTAGTGTGAAGGTATATTCCTCCAAGACTTCATATAACCATTGCATATAAGTACCTCCGTAAAACTATGTTTGGTAGGGTCTGCAAAAATCGGGGGATGACTGTACAGAATTGTCATCATCCCACGCCAATTGATGGATTATTTCGTCCGAAAGTTCGATTCAACATTATTAGGAGCATGAAGAGTTAGTTACTAATACTTCGAAGTATAATGGTAGAAGCATACGTACCAAACTACTTCGTCGTCGAATAAGACGACCGTGGGTCGTAATCGAGGTGTCGAAATTGGACACCGCCATTCGAAAGCATTCGACAGTCGACGACAACGAGAATTCCAACCCTCCCTACCTGACATCACCCCACTTTTGAATGCGGATACGAATGATTTTCGAGGGCCAAATTAACTCGACATTGCTTTTCGTGGAAGCGAATAAAAATACAGAAGAATATTAGGGGGAGTCTATATAAATTTGCTTTTCACAACGAAAAGCCGAAATTTCCGAAGGCATCGAGGGTATATTTATGCATATCTCAAGGTCCAGATGGCCTTTTCAGTGAAACTTCGTACGTGTTCATAAATAAACGCCATACTGTATAAAACATGTTATTCTGATGTCAGGTGTAGAAATGACTATCTTGTGACCGTTTCAGAATACTATTGTGGGTTTTCGTAAAACAAGTTGTTTGTCGTTGTCATTCTGGCAAACAACTTGTTTTATGTCAACGCGTCAAGGTGGCTTACCGCAATGAAACTGAAGCAGCTATGGCCACATACATGACCTCCCATCCGTGATCACTACAAACATTTATGCCATACCTACAACACTTGATCTGACCTAACGTTAGCACTGTACGTGGAAAGCAAGGGTGCACTACACAGCTACACGATGTAAAGTACTCCCATTTCACAACCTAATACGGTATGCATCGTGATGAACTGGTGGTTGCACTGCGTAAGTTGGCCTGGTGCTCCAACTCGATTAATTAGCGGCTGAAAAAGTAACGTTAACATCCGAGCGGGTTAAGGGTTTTTTACAGTTAGCAACAGGAATATTACATGAAACAGTAAAGTACAGTAATTTACATATGACCTCTGTGAGGCAAAATACGTGCCCCACATTGCTCTTGACATACCATGTGATGGTATGCAATGACTTTCAGAGCAAAGTGGTCACACACACTACATGGGACAAACACTAACGAATTATATTGTCAAGTCGGTTTGTAATTGGAGTCGCCAGTAGAATCGAATAGACTTGGCAAATCGATTTGAGAATGAACTAGCCAATCAAAATCCATTCTAACCCCCCCTTCACAAGATTTCTGAATGGTTCAGCCAATCAATACGTTTTCTAAAAAAACCGTTGCAGATTGAACTCACTGTACTATAGTGAATACAAGATGTGTTGCCAAGTTCATTCAAAAATGATTTCAACAGTCCAAATTGAGAAGGACAATATGCGAATTAAAATGTTACTGTACTCAGTCTATTTACACTTTGTCACGAGCGAAACACAATGAAAGAATGATCAATATCAATGTCGTGCATGTGTTGAACACTCGTTCAACAATTGAACGTAACGTTGCACATCTGACGCCCCCATTGCCGTTGTGTTAATAAAAATCAATAGTATTCGCCTAGTTATCCCTACCGTATAGTGTATTGCGACGGGTTAATCTATTGCGACTCCTGTAATAACTAATATTTACTTGTGAATATGTTGAATATACTTCAAATTTGTACGACGCAATGGATTAACAAAATTTTGAGAACGAGTGTCGGCCGGTTGTGAAATATCACCTGTCGCAATACATATACACTAGTATACGGTACTATGAGCACCAGACAAACACATTCGCGTGCTTGGCACAGTCGTCTTGGGTCCACGCCACGACCACTTGCTGGGTGACGGGCCAAAAGCACACGTTTCGATTGCCGGCACACTGGTTCCCGGGGCCCGAAGTGGCCGTGGGGGACGGCGCCGCGGTCGTGAGTGGGGTGCTATCCTGGATGTTGGCGTATTTGGAGTTGGGGTAGTTGATTGTGTTTTGCGAAAATGCCATGTTGGCTGGTCCGAACGTATTGTACGCTTGGGTGATGAGTGACCGCATCGACCCGCCGGTGGCGTCCGCGTCCCCGGACCAGTACATGGTCCCCCCCAAGTTGAACTTTTTGATGTACTCCAATTTCGCGGCGACGCTTTGTGGATTGTCGTAAGAGGTAAACATCTTGCGGGTAGGGTCGTAGCTGTAGGCTGCGACCAGCTTGGGATCAAACACTTCGGCGGCCCCGGACAACGGCAGCGACTTGTAGTCCCACACCCCGAGCCCCGAGCCCTGGTATACCCACGAACCGGTCGTGGGTGGAGTGTACGCGCCATACAATCCGCCCGTGTTTTCATACGACCGGCCGAAGCTCGGAATGCCCATGACCAGTTTCGTGGAAGGACATCCCCCGTTGAGGTAGTGCTGCAGGGCCCCATCGACTGAGTTGGCGACGCCGGGGTTGTTGGGGTCGGGGTACAAGTTCGCTTGATGTTCGGTGTAGTTGGTCAGGTTGGTCGTCTGGAGCCACCTCTGGCCGTGTTCGTGGTGGTCCAAGAACCGCAGCGCGTTGCCGGTAAAGCCGAACGAGCTTACGTGCAAGTGGTCGACAAACGAGCACACGTTGTACGTGTCCCAGTGGCGATAAGACTTTTGGGTCGCAGGGGCAACCGCCGTGAGTTCCGACGGGAACGGCAACTTGGCCAGTTCCTTGCGAATCGCCTCCAACAAGAGCACCAAATTCTGCATGTCGTTGGGGGTGTGGGGGATCCCGCCGCCTTCCACCGGCGACGCCCAGTACACGTCGATGAAATCCAGGCCCAAATCTTGCATGAGCTGCACCGACGTCGACGCAAACGTGCGCCGACCAGCGTCGGTCATGGCCAGCGCGCTAAAGTTGTCGCTGTGCTGCTCCCCCCCAATCGACAGCCCAAACTTCGTCGTCCGAAACTTTTTCTTGAGGATGTATGCCAGGCCGAGGGTCCCTCGTGCCACGTTTGAGTTGGTTGCATTCGTCGGAGAGTCAAAGTAGTTGCGGATGATGGCGGCGTACGGGTCGTCCAATGTGACGGTGCCGTCAGCTTGCGGCACGGCGAACCCGTACTTGACGTGGGTGGCCCGACTCCAGTCCAGGTCAAACAAGTGAAAGTCGCCTTCGGGGGCGTATGTGGTCCATTCCTTGAAGTAGACAATGTTGCGGTACTTGGCGGCTTGAATGGTGGGGATAGCGAGGGCTAGGAGGGTCAACGCGGTGGCCCTGATGGCCTTGGAATGTAGCCACATTACTGTGTCAGTGTGTAGAGCGTAGTGAATTCAAGAATGAAGGCAAAGCGTTGTCCTTGTCGAAGCCGTACTGTAGTTTTGGTACCAGCTGATCAGGCGATGAGAAACAGAAGTTGGCACTTCAGTCGCGCGCGGCGGCAAACCCAAATGTCAAGTTTGTGAACTTGAAGATTTGTAAATATATTTAACCAATGAGCTTAACGTTAGAGTAACACTATTGTACGATGTTTATCGACTTTAACGTTACATGCGTTGCACCTGGACATGGAATTTCAATTGTTACTTAGGAGCCATCGGTGTGCTGCTTTGAATGGCAGTTTGCTGTAGCACTGCATATACAGTACAGGTACATTGCGGCGTGATTGATACTTGAGGTGCGCGCACTTCGAATCGGTTGGAACGGCTCAACTTCAAGTGCTTGTGTGGCGCACGCGAAGAACACCAGCGATTATTTCGTTCACAGATAAAATACACCGAGTGGATTTTGCATGTTGGGATAATTCTCATAGAAAATGCAATCAGTGTAAGTATGGACTTGGAAATACTGCGGTTGGGGTTGAAGGCGACGATGTTTCTTGACGTTAGACTGCCAAGGATTTGGCTTTTTTGAAAGACTCGAAGAGTGTGGATTGGCGCGTACTACCATATTGTTTCTGGTACTACTGTAGTATTTTTTACTTCAAGTCGTGTGATGAGTGGTGGGTGGAATGATCGTGTAACGTAAACGTTAGGGATCCAATCTGCGACCCGAAGGTGGCGGTCGACGATTGTCGGGGCCACACTTTTAAGCGTCAAGGAGAACGAGGTGCTATACCGCTCCTCTTTCCCCTGTCTGTTTACATTTAGATGGTCATAGAAAAGGTAAGTTCACTGGACCTTGAATGCCCAATTCTTATGGGAAGGAGCTGACAGTCTGTATCCATTTCCTAATAAGGGCCTCAGTCAGTACCGCCAAGGAATCCATGATGGTGACATGTAGCGTCCAAGGTTTATGCTGTAACGTAAAGTCCAATTTAGGGTGCACGCGAGTTAACCAATCAATTCCTACAATGGAAGTTTTTAACCTAACCGCCCAAAAATATGTAATGGGTATACAAAGACTAAGCTTAAAATGGTGCACCTTAAATTGGACCGCTTGTTTTAAGCTGTTTAGTGTTGTGAATGATAATGAGTTATAACAGGAATCATATCGCATTCAAAACTCCCGAATAGGCCTGGATTTTGGCTTCATGTAACATATTATAGAATTATAATCCGATACCTACGAGTCGAGTTACATGCCTTCCACGGCGGCGTCTTGGACTTTTACGTTACCCACATCTTTCCCAAGAGGTCAGTTCCGCAAGTTGAAAACGGGGGCATGAACCATCACTCAAGGTACGTTGCGATCAAATGTCAACTTGCAGTATGTACGCCCCCAACTATTCGGTAAACGAGCAACACTTCTAGTGACTTAGTTAAGGGGGAAAGAAATTTCAGGGGGATCAGCCCATTGGGCTCAAGTTCTCCAAGAATTTCGACACATATGTTGCAAGAAATTTTGCGTGGACCATCCCACCATGAAATCAGGCGAGCTATTCAAATCCTCAATTTCTGGGGTTTTCTGTTTTCTACCGGTAACTTAGTATCAAGCACACATCAGACACACACACAATCATCACGTCGCAGCAAAATATTACTTCGAAGTATGATAAATGATACTACTCTGGTCCACAATGATCGTAAAAGTGTCGTATTATTGGCGGAATTTTTCTAAAATACCTCGAATATCACTTCTGATTGGTGCGTTAGAAAGCGCAGGATCGAACGCATTATTATGAGTCCAAAACCACCTTCTTCTTTTTTTTATTTGGGAATGGATTTCGGGGAGCTTATACAGGCAAAGCTGCCGGGGGGGTGAAGAAGAGAGTTAGCCGGGGTCGAAGGCAAGGTCCAGAAAGTCATACAACGTTGCCACATGTCGAGGGGAATCGGACCAAAACCTGCCCCTTCGAGAGTGGTGTACATCCAGCAGTCGTCCGGCGCAAGCTTGAACAGAAAGTCAGCCGCTTGGTTTCCGTCGCGGCAAGGGTGCACACGGTGAGATTTGAGCGTCGGAGGCCTGGGTTGCGCACACGGTAAACCCCTTGTAGTTGACGGACGAGGAGTTGGCTATCGCCGTAGACAGTAAGATGGGTGAAGCCGCGAGCCAGCGCTAGACGGAGACTTCGGAGAAGTCCGACGTATTCGGCCTGATTGTTAGTAGTAGCGGACGCGATGTAATGTGCGTCATAGTCGAAGAGAAGGGGGCAGTCACGAGGCATGACGATAGCGCCCAAGCACCACATGCCAAATTGTTTCTGGTACTACTGTAGTATTTTCACTTCAAGTCGTGTGATGAGTGGTGGGTGGAATGATCGTGTAACGTAAACGTTAGGGATCCAATCTGCGACCCGAAGGTGGCGGTCGACGATTGTCGGGGCCACACTTTTAAGCGTCAAGGAGAACGAGGTGCTATACCGCTCCTCTTTCCCCTGTCTGTTTACATTTAGATGGTCATAGAAAAGGTAAGTTCACTCGACCGTAAGTTGAAAACGGGGGCGTGAACCATCACTCAAGGTACGTTGCGATCAAATGTCAACTTGCAGTATGTACGCCCCCAACTATTCGGTAAACGAGCAACACTTCTAGTAACTTAGTTAAGGGGGGAAGAAATTTCAGGGGGATCAGCCCATTGGGCTCAAGTTCTCCAAGAATTTCGACACATTGTTTTGGCTCCCGTCGTTATCCGGATGGGAACCACTTGCGGAGGCCGAATTAAATTGTAAACTGAGGTCTCTTACTTCGAAGTACTTTTTCTGGTCTATTTTAAGTCTAATCATTTTGCCCAATGAAAATGCGCCAACAATGCACATCTTTCAACCGTACAACAATGGCTACAACCGCACGACGAATGGCGGCACATAATGGAGACTAACGGCCTTACCGATCACGAGACCACGAGCCGACCTCTAAAAAGGCTCATAGGTCTTTCTGCAGCGCCATGCAGAACACTTCCTGAAACCCCGAAACCCCGAAGGGAGTGGTTGAGGGTCTTCTCGAGTTCCGCGGCCATTTTCTTCACTTCTTGGTCTTCATGTTGGTGAACCCAACTGCGGAAAATGATGGGGATGCCTTCATAGAAAGAGCGAACGGGCTCCCATGAGGCTTCGTCTTCATCCAGGTCAAGCCAGTAGACTAGGGCTTGGTATTCGCGGTTTTCTTCGCGGACGTCGCCGAGCTTAGCCCATGGAACCCTTCATTGCCAAAGGCAATAAAGTCTGCTAGGTCTTCGGTCACATCGCGGTCGCCTTAGCAATACATCTTGAGTCGGCAGGTGTGGTGGAGGGACAAGTCGTAAGGCTGCACCAACTGCTGGGTTTCCATGACATAGTCAGTCACGACCCGGACGATGTTGCTTGGGCCGCGCCAGTGCAGGGACAACTTGTTGCCTTGGCGGGACACTTGGCCAACGAGGACAAAGTCGCCGATCGCAAACTTCTGCAACTGTACGGCCTTGGACTTGGCTTGGCGCTTGTCGCAGCCACTTCGCGGTGCAGCTGTTCCATCGCTTCATGTAGCTAGTCCATGTGCTTCTTGCGCGTTGAGTTGAGCAAGTCAATGTTGGCGACTTCCTTCGTCAAGGTGTCGTCAAACGCTGACAGGGGCATCATCGCAGGCAGGCCAGTAAAGACAGCCACTGAGGCCATGCCGCTAAGTCAGTCGCTCGGCATGTGGTTCAATGCGCCTTGTACCAGGGCCAGGACGAGGTTTCAGACGGTCGCGCGCAGCTTCAACTCGCTGGTAAGCGTCTTGACGGCGCGGTGGATCAGCCGGTCGACTACTTCAACGGTTCCGTTCGCCCAAGGACAGTAGGCAGTCGTGAAGCGGTGGTGGGTCCCGGTGGCCTTGAGGATCTTGTCGATGAATTTGTTCTTGAAGTGGGAGCCGCTGTCGGCGACCCAGGTATGGACTTACCCAAAGGTCGTGAACCAGTCGAGGAGGCCGCTGGCGGTCGCCGCGGCGTCGCTTGTCTCGCTGGGCCAAAATCGCACGAATCCGCTCATGTCGTCCTTAATGACGAGGATCTTCTGCCACCCGTTCGTCGCCGTGGGCTTGTATAGCCAGTCGAAGTGGATCAGCTCTTGGGGCTTCTCGGCATGGAGCGCCGATCCAAGCGGGCACGGGACCACTGAGCCATCGACGCTGAGACAATGGATGCAGGCTTGGACAAAGGTCTTGACATCGTCTTCGAGGGTGCTCCAGGCGAAGACATCGCGGACGGCCTTGGTCGTGGCTTCGATCCGTCGATGGCCCGCGGCGCCTTGGTGCGCTATGATGCAGACCCGCTGCTGGAGGTCCGTGGCACTTGGTGGGATCCAGATGCGGTCTCTTTTCGAGGAACAGGTTCTTGTCTTCATTTTACGCCACGCAGGTTGGCGGGGTCTCTCCCCTCTTCACGGCCACTTGTTGGGTCTTGACGATGCCGGCAGGGCTGGGCCAGTCGAAGTCGGGCTGCTGCAGGGGCGACACCATGGCCAGGAGGCGCCGGACGGACTTCGTTGGCACTTGGGCTTGGGCGACGCCCCAGCGGCTGAGCAGGTCGCCCCACACATTGTCTTTACCGGGCAGGCACTCGATGGTGTAGGGGAATGAGGAAAGCACTAGGGTCCAGCGCTCCAACTTGTGCGCTTGGTACCTCGCCATGCTTGGGGACTGGCCGGCAGGATTGAAAATGTACTGCAGGTTCTTGTGGTCGGTGAAAAGGCGGAAGCTAGCTGGGCGGATGAGAAGGTAGTCCAGCCGCTTGCAGCTTTCCGCAACGGCAAACGCTTCCTTCTCCACGATTGGCCATCGCTCGCTTGCGCCAGTAAAGGCACCGCTGAGAAAGGCCAACGGCTGGTGACGCTGCTCTTCCAACGGCAGGGCCAGGCCAGTGGCGATGGCGCCCCAAAAGCCTTCACTTGCATCGGTGTAAAAGCAGACCATCATGTCTGCCCGTGGGTGCGCCATGGGAACCATCGCCAAGAGAGCTTCCTTGATCTTGTCGAAGCAGGCCAGATGGCCAACGTCCCAACCAACGGCAGTGAGTTGGACGTGGGTGAGCTTCGTCTTCTTCGCACTTTCAATTTGCTTGGTCGCTGCGTCGAGGAGTTGGCGGAGCGGCGCCACAAGCTCGGTGTAGCAGGGGATGCTGGACCGCATCCAGTTGGTCGCGCACACGAACTGTTGGAGGTCGGCGGCCGTGGCGGGCGGGGCGAGCGCACACAGTCCTTGGATTCTTGTGGGGGAGTGCTGGACGCCTTCAGTTGAAACGACTTTGGCGCACCAGACGGCCTTGGTCAAGCAAAAGTCGCATTTCTTCGGGTTGAGCTTCAGGCCGAAGGAGGAGCAGATCGTGAGGACTTGGTCGAGGAGGTCTTCAGGGGTATCGGCGTAGCCAAGCATGTCGTCGAGCCAGGCGAGGAGTCCCTTGAATAGTAGGTCGGCAAACATGAAGTCCTCAGCCGACTGACAGAATGCCACGGCGTCCGTCTGGCCCATAAGCACTCTTGTGGGCGTGTACACTCCAAAGGGGGTCATGAAGGAGTAGTACATTTGGGAGTCTTCATGGAGCGCCACTGCCAGTAGCCCTTGAACAAGTCGAGCGTGAAAAACGCCCGCGCGCCCACCAAGACAGTCAAGGCAGCGTTCGGGGTTCAGCATAGGCCATGGCATAGGCTCCGTGCACGCATTGATGGGCCGGCTGTCGATGGTCGTGCGCAAGTCGCCAGGGTCTTTCTTGGGGACGATGCGCGGCGCCGAGGCCCATGTTGCGCGGTTGTTTCGGTACACCAGGCCAGCTGCTAGACACATGAGCTCGCGCACATGTGTCTTCAGGAACTCCATATGCGCTGGGGGGTATCGTCGCAGGCCACACTTGACAGGGACGGCGCCAGGCTTGATGCGCACCCTCAGCGGCTCCACCTTGATCGGCTCGTCATGGCCGATCTCCAGGCGGAATACATCACCGAACTTGGTCAGGAGGAATCGCAGCATCTCGAGGAGGTCCGCGGTCAAGCCTTCGTCTTCGGCGACGCGGAGCTTGTCTTCAATCACCGCTTCAACCACCGCTCGCCGTCTGTTCCGCTCGCCTTCTGCATCTTCAGCAGATGGGCCTTGGATGTTGGGAGTGGCACAGTGCATGCCGCCATCACCGCACTCGTCGCTTGAGGCGGCCACTTGATTCAGGCGGCTGACACTTGCCATCGCAGACGGCTTGTCCACGTCGCTGACATCCCAGACTTCTTGCTTGGCAAAGGTGTGGCTGAGCAACTCGTCTTCAGAGAAGCCCAGCCGTTCCATCACAGCCCGGCTAATCAGGAGCTCTGCCGCGTTGGAGGAAGAGTCCACCCAGGCCTTAAGTCCACGAAGGGCCAAAGGTCCACAGGGGGTGTCCAGGGTGACCAACTTAAGGTGCACTTGGCGGTCGACCTTGAGGGCAGGTGCTTGGCCATACGGCTGGATCACGAATGACTCCGGCGAAATCACTTTGACTTCCACGCCGGCTCGCTCCAGGGACTTCATGACACCGGCTGTTACCAATGTAACGCCGGAGCCGGTGTCGAGGAGGGTCGTCGTGGCGGACATGATACCTTCGATCTTGGCTTCGCGACCGAGGGACTGGCTCGCGCAGCTTGGTCACCTTTCTGTTGCGCGCGCTCTCCCACTTGTCCATTTTCTCCTTGAGCAGACGCTCGGATTCGCCAGGCGCGCACTTGGGGCAGTTTACCACCTTGTGGTTCTCGCTGCCGCACTTGAGACATGTCGCCCTCTTGCGTTCGTACTTCGCGTTGTCGTGCTCGGGGGCTGAGGCGCGCCGGGGAGGCTGCTGCCAACGCTGCCTTCAGATCGTCCAGGCTTGGACGGCCGCGATGGTGTCGCGGCTGCCGTCGGAGGCGGTGCCGAAGTCTTCTCGTCTTCCACAAGGGAATACAAGTGGTACCCGCCGGTATGCACGCGCAGCCAGTCAACGAAACGTTACACGTTGGACTTCAACGGCTTGTTGCGTTGGTGGGCCAGCTGACGTTGGACCGACTTCTGCAGGCCAAATGGCTTAATCGCCTTGACTATAATGTCGACAACTGTCTTGCCTTCTTGGTCCAAGACCCACGCTTGATCGTCTCGCTCCAAGGCTCGCATCAGGTTGTCCAGCATCTTGCCCAATGCTCGAGTCGGCGTCCAGGATTGTTATATCGAACCGGATCGCCGTGGTCAAACGCTTCTTGAGCACTTCTAGGTCTTGAGGCTCCTCTTCAAACGCCTTGCTAAACCATGCGGCCCACGCTATCTCCGTGACACAACGGTAGTCGCGGTTGGCTATGTCCCACATCGACACACGCTTCTTGGTAAAGACGTCCATGCACGCGCTTACACGCATCACGAAGGGTCTTGAACCATTGAGCTGGAGGGCGTTGACTTGGTGCACGTACTTGTTGTACTAGCGGATGAATGTCCGCCGCTCCGACTTGGTCGAGCCGTTAAACGAGGGCGGGTCAGGGAGGTCCAGGATTGTTATATCGAACCGGATCGCCGTGGTCAAACAAAAGAGCCGGAACGTTGTGCACGAAGCCGCGCGTGTCGCCTTGTCCCATGTCATAGTCATCGGGGACAGGGGGCATGTCGGTTGCGCCAGTTGGTATCGCAGCTGGCGCGGGAGAACCAAATGGCGCGACCACGGGGGTTGGTGTGGGCACCGTAAATGGAGTATTGGCGTAGCCATCTGGTTGAAACCGCTGACCAACAGCTGGTGGATCACGCCGGCGAGGAGAGGCGAACGGGGTAGTGGCTTGACGGCGCACGGGACGGTCGCGTTCGGCTTCTCAGGATCGGGATCGCTCCGTCCCGTTAACAGGGGACTGCGAGCGTTGGTGATCAGAGTCACTCATTGCTTCGGGCGATTTCGTTCCCGTCGTTATCGGGACGAGAACCTCTTGCGGAGGCCGAATTAAATTGTAAACTGAGGTCTCTTACGACGAATTACTTTTTCTGGTCTATTTTAAGTCTAATCATTTCGCCCAATGAAAATGCGCCAACAATGCACATCTTTCAACCGCACGACAATGGCTCAACCGCACGACGAATGGCGGCACATAATGGAGACAAACGGCCTTACCGATTATGAGACCATGACCGACCTCTAAAAAGGCTCATAGGTATTTCTGCAGCGCCATGCAGAACACACATATACTTCAAGAAATTTTGCGTGGACCATCCCACCATGAAATCAGGCGAGCCTATTTTTCGGGTTTTCTATTTTCTACCGGAAACTTAGTATCAAGCACACATCAGACACACACAATCATCACGTCGCAGCAAAATATATACCAGTACAGTATGTATATGTATTCGAGTCGCGGACCAAAATAGTGCTTTTTACTGCGGTCCTGTATATGGTGTTTTTGTTTCCTACCACTTCCTACCAAAACCCTACCAGGTCCTACCATCCGTATAATTCAGCAGTTATTCGTATCCGTATAACAAAATTTAACCGGATAACTGTCCTACCATGCCATAAAGAGTATGTACTGACAGTGTGTACCACCTTAGAGCAACTCCACCGGTCGGAGTTATAGCTCAGATTTATACGGATAACCCTTTGATTGGACCACCCGGACATATTGCTCCACCAGCAGGTTTTATAGGGGTCAGATTTATATTTGAAAGACCAAACATAAATCTGACCCCAAAAAATTCTACAATAGGACTTTTTCGCCTGAATTTATCCATCAGATTTATGCTATCCGGATTCATAGTACTATCAAATTAATAATCCAAAGCAATATTTGGTAGAGTAAAATGAAGTTCCTTCACATAATATACAAAAAATTACCATTTTATTGAACTCAATGCGCATGTTGATCGACGCGGTGGAGCAACGACCACGTGATGAGACGGCGGCATCACAGTGAACTGTGCACATGTACCATAACACCTGTCGATGCTTAATTGGACCTCTGAACGCCACCCACTGTCCCAGCTACGTTGAATGGTCATGTGTCCACTCTGCTGACGCCGTCACCACAGCCCTTAACATCGCAGCGACAACCAAGTCGCCCCGTTTGTGAGGGCGGTGATGGCGGCATCACCAGGGTAAACGAATTAGTGAGCACCACGTAGATTGTTTTGTCAGAGTCCTCGTCACAGTTGGCTCATGGTATGAGAATACGAATGCTGTGATAATTCATAAGCTCAAGGGTGCGCCATCTTTTTGGGTGTGGAATTTTTGCACGTGGTTTTTGACGTGCACGTGGTTATATTTGCACTTGTTGCGCCAATTTGAACTGTTTGCACGTGGTATAATTTCCAGTCAAAAATAGACCGCACAAATAATAATCCAACAGCTTGCTCTGCAAGTTACTACGCAGTAAGCGTGAAGCCCACATGATTTTGGCCATGCGATCATGTATACATATGCATGTTGGATTACTCTACCTCGGCCTATCCGTATTCATGGACGAGTGCCATCGCTGATGGATGCCCTCGACACACACATTCTACTACATGTCGGCCATTCCTTGGCCAAAACCACTCATTTTTGGACTGGTGTCACCGCTGAGAAATACTCTCAGTGGTGGTACCAATGCTAGCGAAAGACCGACTTGCCTACGTCCTGTCGAACAACTTTTTTTTGCCCACCTTGCCGACGAATTTACTGGTATAATGAGACTCGTGAACCGACTTGCAATGATGTACAACTATATACTACTCTGGTCCACAATAGCTGTCCTATTGTTTTGACCTGATTAAAGTATAATGACCTGGCTCGAAACGTCTTGAAGTTTGTATTGGTCTCCGAAATGCAATATTGGTCGACGATATTTTTATTGTATTTTTATTCTAATGTCGACCCTACTTGTTCTTGAGAATTGACCAGGTCTTCCAAATGAGCTTCCTCTCCAAGGCGACTTTCCAAATGGAGAAGTGCACCTTCGACAGCGGACGAATGGCATTCGACATTGTACAATGCCAAGTCTGAAATGGTCGCATCCTTTCTCATATGAGGAAGTTTATAGTTGTTGCTTCCGAGCATTTCAATTGACTTTTGCATCACTTTCTGCAACGTTATGAC